CTACTTATTTTCCAAAAGACAGCTTTAAAGCAATTTCTTCAAGGTCAAACCAAAATGTTACTAGACTAGAAGCAGGGTCCTGAGGCATCTCATGTGGAATGCATTGAGCTGCGTGGCATGCCGGCTGTAGACTGTCAACGTTTCGCAGGCGTAGAGCAAGGATGGTAGAACTACTGCTTCATACACTTTGAGCTTAGTGTTAAGGCTCAGTCCTCTTCGCTCCCAGACCTTTTAAAAACAAACATATAGAATGACGAAAGCAACAACTAAAATTCAGCTGATCCAAAAATCAATAAAGAAATCCAAAAGAAGAAATAATGTAGCTAGACACAATTACAGATCTGCATGTTAGATTAAGAAATATGGGGCTCTCGTGGTCTGGAAATCGCAGTGTTCTCCTCTCGTTCAACAGGTTCCCTGTTCGAAACCTGTCATTGACGAACATTTTTCTTCTCTAATATTTTCTCCCTTTACCTCTTTTTCTACTCCCAAAACATGTTTGTCGTGGACGCAATAGAACCCCCCTCCCCCCTTTCCCCCTGGGACATCACAGCCATACGTGTGCTGAAAGTTTAAACCTGAACTTGCCCCCCTTTTATACTCGAATGATTTATCAAACAATGACAGAAGTAGGGTATTGAAACTGCTAAATGATCATTCACATCTCAGAGCATTGTGTGTGTGTTCATGTGTTCTTAATTTCAAGTACACTTTTATAATGATCCCTGCCCCTCGAGGGGAGGTAAGAATAGGACTTCAAAGAGGGTACATTATTATAATTATCATTTTTATGTTGGATATTATAATAATCAAAATGGGACAAAAATCAGTGGGGGCTGAGATAAAACATTTTTAAAGAAACAATTTGAAACTCATTCTCTTAACAAACTGTTCAATGGTAATTTTCTTCTTCGCAAATGCCTCGTTCAGCCTGCTCCAGTGTTTTAGTTTTCGTATGTCTCCCTTTCTCTATTGAGCACAGTGGCCAACTTCCACGGTATTGATTTACAGGCATTTTATTTCTTGGTGAGTGCGCTTAAAATGTTATCATTTGCATAGGTAAATTTAAAAAATAAGCTTGAATATTTTCATGCCGACAGACGAAAGTGAACAGGCTATAGATTCAAAAGCTTTACAACCTTGTTGTTGACTGGTCGTCAGATCTCGACACAAACAACGCAGATGAACACAATACACAATACATCAGTGTTTGATTACCCTCCCAAAACTTCATTCAGTTGAAAACACGCAACAGCCTAAGTGTTTAAGCCCAGAAAATCAAAACGGTAACAAAGCTTCATTTTAAAAAGAAGTGTGTGCGTGTTTGTGTGTGTGTTTCAGTTATATATATATATATATA